AAAAGAATAATAATTGGGAGGGGAAAGAGTTATTTGAAGTCCCCATTCTTGATATAATTTATATTTTCCTCTGTTTGATCCCAGAAGCCAAGTCTGAAACACTGACACCACAACTCTATATTACGGGTCTCAGTAACAGAATAGTTTTTAAAAATGTAAAATTCCGTCAGTAAACCAATAATACACTGTGGCTTGAAGCACCACCCATTAATGTGTTCTCTTTTTTTAAAAAAAGTTTAAAATAACTCAGTAATGTGAGGTAGGTTATAACTACATTAAGATGAACATTGCATGTCAAACATCACATGACATTATGGTGACATCACAAACCGCTAAACAATGCCATTGTCATTTATTATTATGTCACTAAAACCTCTTGATATATTTAGCAAGTGGTAACACGAGAGGCTACATAAATCCATTGTTGAATTACAGTGATGAAATAAACCATGCAACTCAAGTGGATTATGACCACACGAAAACTCAAATAATAGTAATGTAGTTTTATAAACTCTTTTATTCATTACTCTTTTGTATAATATACAATGCCTTAAACAATTTTTAAAGATGCCTGAGTCTTCTTGCAGTCCATTCCTTATTGGTTCAAAAGCTGAAAATTACTTCTATCACTACAAATCTTGAATCTGTTCAGAATTTCTGTGTTATATGCTCTCACCCATTTACTGTGTTCTGGAGAGTTTAGAACAAATGATATGCACACATTGATACAATGAGCTGTGTGGGGTTTGTAATCCAGTGTTGATTATAATTCATGAATCCAATTTAAAACTTCTAATCCATCTTGGATTGCTGCATTAAGAACAAAATGTGACAGCATTTCTTTCAATCCATATAGCATTGATGTGATCAAAGTGCGTCTATGCAATCAAGAGTAAAGCAAAGATGTGTGATCCAATTGGATTACTCATGGTGCTTTGTAATAGGAAATAATAGAACCTTGTTAGGATTACCACTAAAAATAATCTATAAAATGGCTATAGTACCTATATACAAAATGATCCTGACCACTTTAAAACAAGTTTAAAGTTCTGATTCTGTGTTGGAATCCACTAGTGCACATCCTGTGTCCATGCAGCGAGTCCTGATACTTATTGGGGGCCCACTAGACAAATGCTGTCTTTTAATTTTGCCACCAAAAGATGTACAAATTCCCTAAAGATGCACAAGCAGTACTAGGGCTCCATTATGCTAACATTTATGCCTGTAAATCACATGAGTAAAATTACTCTTCTATGTAAGCGTTTACAGATTCGGGCCCCTTAATTTGCATCCTTATTTTAGCTGCCCTAAGTATAGCAACCCAAGCAAATTGTTCCTAGCAGAAACAGGATTCTGTTCTAGCACTAGCAGTGTTTATGTTATTAAGATCAGTACTTTTAGAAAATACCATTGGGATAGATGGATGAGGTAGACATGCTGATGCACACCCATGGAGCTGTATAAATTAATAAATAATAATTGCTCTCTTACTAACACGGTGAAGTGCCTGAGGCAGTGCTATCTCACCTTCCTCAAGAGACATGCCGCAAAATGATATAATGCTTACCAACTTGTTTAGTGACATTGACCATGGCAGGACTATGAGAGCATCAGTGTGAGACATGAGAAGAGGGCAATCAGCCATCATTGACATGGGGATTTTTAATTGATTTTAAATTAAGGTCACTGTCCCCAGGCCACTGCTAGATTCGATTATTTCTGGCATATTTCTGCGCATATATTTCTGATAGAAATATATGTGCAGCACCATCTTTACCGACTTGGGGGTCATGAGGATTTTTGTAGAGGTCTGTGATCCAGTAAACTTTCATAATGTGAAGTACACCTACAGCTAACATTGCTACTATCCCATTGACAATAGTTAACATCTTGTTTAACCATTCAATTTATTCTCTTAATATTCGGTTGTATTGTTACAGTTTGTAACATCACCACAAACGTCATTGCTTTCCATTCCAATTGTCTGAATAGAATATAACAATCTTCCATTACAAGGCAGGCTGTGTCCTTATGTATGTTACACTGTGAAATACAATGTAATGTCCTCTCCAATTGTCCATGGAATGGTTGTAATTTCCTCTAGGGGTCTCCTTTAAAGTCAAGTTCATAGTTTTAAAATATTTGGAGGAGGGAAGAAAAAAGAGACCGTCTCAAGCCTCTGTAATCTACCTAAGAACTATAGATGCTAGCTGTTATATTAACACCTTTTATATATTCCTTGATTCCACAGCCATGGAATTTGCTGTGAAATCCACCCCTTGCCAAAGAATTGTGCTCCAGAATGTACGTATTATTTATTTTTAAAATCATGGTTCTCATACAGCCTTCATGCCTGTAAAGAAAACCTTGGAACTATGAACTCAGTGTATGTTGGTGAAATGTTGGCTATCTACGAGTGCTGACAATCCTGAAACAATAGCTTTCCCACTCATCTCAATGGGGTGTTGATTCTGAAATCTAAATATTACAGTTTAAATGAATATCTGTTCTATTGCTGGTCATTTTACTGAGAGCATCCAGGTACTGTTCCCATCCCATAGCCCTAAACTGTCTTCTCTGGAGCCAAAAGTCCCAACTGTCCTCTACTCATCTACAAGACCCTTCTGCTTCCCCTCACAGCTTCTATAATCCAGTTATGCATTTCCAATATGTAATTTTGCATAATACTAAAAATTAAAAAGTTGAGGACAACACACAGTTAAATGCAATATCACATTAAATCACAGAGGCTCCTTCACTGAGTGTATTATTTATATTCATATTTAATTGACCAAAACCCACCATTTTAAAATTTAAATGAAGCTACTATTCAACTCAGGTCCATCCGTGTGCTGTTGCATCCAGACACCACGTCACAGAATTTAGGTCAGCTTACTGTAGTGTACACAAAGCCTTGACTGTGGTAGTTGGTGCCTTTGAAAAAAGTTAAGACAAAATGGGTAAAGCAAAGGAAAGATTAGAAAAGCTGAAGCGAAAGGAATTAGTTACATTTATTAATATGCTCAAGGAAATTAGGCTATACAATACTGAAAGGTTTTATGGTGTCTAGTATTTCTTTCCATATCAACAAGTTCACTCATACTTTATTTATAATGATCTCCATCTCAGTAGAATACTTTTCTCTGTTATGAGACGTGATCAAGGAACTAGGATTTTCTCATCTAGGTTTGATAAATCTACCAGGTCTACTTGTTCATGGGTTCTCCACCTGGGGGTGCTGACCCCTCTGCCCTTCCCATATTGCTAACAGGGAAGGGGGTCTCCCCTACATCTACGTAGTTGCAGTTTGGAAAAATCCAAGAACCTCAGGATACTTGGTAACAAGTCAATAGGTTTACTAGCAGGTAGGTTTGACCTAGATTCCTAAGGGGGAGTGGAGAAACATTTCAAACAAAACTGCACAAAGGACTAGAAGATAGACTGTAGGGGACACTCCTGCACTATTTGGGAGATGGATCAGATGACCTAGTAAGTCTTTTCCCCCTCATTAGTTCCAATGATGCTGTGATAAAAGGGAGTGTGTCTCCTTTAGTATTTCTAAATCCATAATTTATTTGATCTGGGTCCAATCAAAGATTTTGAAATGACATCATAAACTACAACTCCAAATTTGGAGTAGCTTGTTAGTATCACCTTAAACCCAGATGGAAATGCAATCATTTATATAATATGCATTTAAAAGCATACTATGTAATATTAGACATGGATTTAGTTTAATGCTCAGAACCATCCAATAAGCTGCTAGTGCCACTAACAGTTACAGTATCTGAAAACACTTTAAAAATGGGGTCACAAGGTAACAGCTGGGCTGGGGGGAGTTCTGGGGAGGAGGAACGAGGGTATAGGAGTTGCAGGGGCAAATGGGGGTGCAAAATAAAAACCACAGCAAGGGACCAAAGTAAAAAAAAAAAGTAGGAGAGGGTGCACTGTAGAAGCAGGGGAGCATGGTCAAATATGGGACAGAGGAAAAACAGAGGGAGCACAAAGTGGAGGGGTATAGGCCAAAACACTCCTGTTAGAAGGGGAGAGGTCCCATTGCCTCTGCCTTCTCTAGCTGTTTATGAGGTTTTCAGGATTGTATTGTAAACCTTAGGGTTAAAAATCCTATGACCCTTTACAAGGTGCACAGTGGGTTTATTTGGTTGCTGACTATGGGCCACCTCTTACAACAGGATCAGTGAAGGCAGCAGACCCCCAACTGACGCCACTGGTGCACCGCGAAGAAGCCGGGGTCCCCCCATGCAGATCCAGTTGCAGAAGGGGGCCCTACACCTACATAGCAAGATCTAAAGAGACGCACCGATGGGGGTGCGGAGCAAGGGGTTGGGAACTGAGCGAACAGTAACGCCCCAGCTTCCGCATGGGAACCTGGTTTCGGTCTGTCCCCCCACCTCTCCAGCCCCCCCATTTGCCAGTTTCCCCAACACTCCTGTCTTTCCCCAGCACCCCAGTTTCCCCCCCACCAGCTGATTATCGGCACCCCTCCTCTACTCCCCCCTTTCCCTTCACGCCCTGTTCAGTCCGCCTGCTCCCCGTTTTCCACCTGCTCCCATCACCCTCCGACTCCCGCCCCCGCATTTCCCCCTGCACACGTGGCCGCACTGGGGCCCTTCTCAGCTGCCCCCCGGGAGCAGAGGCTCTGCCCGCGCCCCAGCAGCAAGCGAAGAAGGAGCAGGGGCAGCAGGAGCCTCACTGCGGCTCGGGCGCATCCTCCTCCCCGCGTCAGGCATGCGCCGTGGCGGGCAAGCGAGCGATTTTGGAAGGGGAGGGAGACGTGACACTCCCCGGCATGTGCACCCGGGAGGCGGGGACACCTCCACCCACTGCCCCCAGCCTCGCGTGGGGAGGGGCGGGGGAGCGAGAGACGCGGCTCCCCAGCCAGCAGCAAGGACAGGGAGGGCGGGCAGCACCGCGGCACGTACAGTGGCTCGGCCACGCCAGTCGGGCGGCGGCGGCTGAGGCTGACAGCGACGCAGGATCCCCCCCGCCGGCCCCCCTCAGTCGGGCCAGAGCAGGCGCAGCCTTCTCCGCCCCCCGGTCCAGCGGCGGCGTGACACCGGCCGCGCTCCATGGAGCCCAGCTAGGGGCTTCTGCCCGCAGCCGCCGGGAGAGCCGGAGGTGAGTCGCGCCGCGCCGCGCCGCGGGGCGTACCAGAGGGCGCAGCCCCGTGGGGAGAGCGGTGGGTGCGCAGGGACCCTGCCTGCCTGCCTGCGCGGAGGAGGGGGGGGGGGGGGGGTGGCTGAAGGCCCCCCCCCCCCCAGGATGTATCAGGCTAACAGCGGGAGGGGGCGAGTCCGCACGGTCATTATTGGGAAGGTGACATCAGTGGTGGGAGGCAGGGTGCAGCCGGCTGACAGGTCGCTGGAGCCGCCTGGGGAGGAGAAAGCTGGCGGCTTGCAAAGCCAGCGGCTGGGCTGGACGGGCTGCCCCCTGCACGGGCAGCAGCCGGCACCGAGAGGCTGCTTTGCAGGGTTTGCCACAGACAAGGGGAAAAGGGGGGGTTGGCTATGCAACGGGGGGGGGGGGGGTCGGGAAAGCAAAGTGGGGTTTTTGGGGTGGTCAGGGGTGATTGGCGCAGCCGGGCGGTGCGAAGGGAACGGGATTGGTGCTGGAGGAAGGAGGCTGTTTGCGCTGCTGTTTGTGCTGATTTGCATCCAGCGGAACAATGCTAAAACTGCCTTTTGGTAGGTGATGGGAGGGATTGTTTGTTGGGGGCATCCGTCTCCTCTTAGATTTGTGGCTGGGAGAATGAATTGCGGTTTTTTGAAAAGCGATGTCTGCTCCCTGCGGCTCCAATGAGCAGGGTTTGCTGTGAACTTGTATTTTCAAGGATTTTGTAAAATACCTCCCCGCACCCTAACTACGTGCGCTATAGCAGTCAGAATTGGCTCTGCGATATGCTCTTCGGGAGCCTTATAATAAACATTCTGAGGTTCTGGGAAATGGTCAAACAGGGAAGATATGAAGTCCCCAGGTATAAAGCAAACACACAGAGAATTGTGGTATTATTTATCTTGTCTTAGCTACATTTCTAGCTGCAACTCTTTTCAGTAATATTGGCTAACACAAACAAATCCTGCATCTGATGTGGCTTTTCAGGCTGAAAGAGTTGATTTCATATACATTTGTTGTAAACCATGACTGTTGTGTCACATCGCACTGAATGCGGTCTGAATGTTTAGTGAAATGAAATCCCATCACAGTTGCTGTTTAGGGTTAGAAATGTTGCCAAACAGCTGCTGCTTTGTGTTTCAATTGTAGAGGTCCCAGGAGTGGATTTTGGACACAGTAAGAGAGAGATGGTGTGTAAACATTGAAGGAAGAAGGGGAAAAGCATATACATGTACACAGAGTGTCTCTTTATAAAACTTTTAAAAATAATTATTGGGGATCTGGAGTGGGGAGCTTTGCATGTGTGTGAGAGACACATAATTTAGATATGGTGGTCCGATTTTTACAATAAACAAACACTTCCCAGTTATCAGTGGTTCAAATACTTGCATCAGTGAAGTAAATGAAAGCTAGAGAGAAATTTACTGTCAACCTTTAAATATATACAATATTTTTTAATGTGTTATGTAGATATTTTTCATAGTCAGTAGTGAAACACTTGGAAGATTTATGGTTCAAAAGTTGCATCACTTCCTTTTTCATTGTTCAGATTCATAGAGAAGGTTACCAGGAAGATAAATTGTCACCTCTGTTCTTTGTTATATACAGTAGATAGAGTTAATTGTTTCTTCTGGACTAGGTAATTATGGGTTATGTGCCACTGGTGTCAGAGTAGTGAGTTTTGGATGCACATCATCTTGGATTTTTAAGAATATGTAAATATTTTACTAAAGAAGTTTTATATGAACCAAATGGTATTGTGCAGAGTCTGAGTATTCAGTGATGGAGATAAACAGATAACATCTTTTCTTAAAAGGCTGGTTTTGCTTGGTTCTTTTTGCAGTCGTTTATATTAGTTTTCTCTGGGGTTATTCTCAGTCTGAATAATTTTTGTAGAAGAAAATCTTACTTAAAATACAAGAAAAATGCAGTGAGGTAAATTGTAATCTGTAATTTTAATTTTAATGTATTGGTTTGAGAGGAAAGATCATTTGGTTGCTGAAAAATTCCTGGATTCTTCTATATTAACACTTATTTGTTTAGATCACATTTTCTCTTTTTCATTGTCACCTCTTTAATGTATGTAGCTTATTCTCTAGGGAAATGATTTAAAATAAATTTGAAAATAACAATATATTTTTCCCTTTGGCAACTGGCAAGAACATGTTTAATTACTAAAATAATATAGAACGCCGGAGTATTCCCAGCATTACAGTTATGTATAGCAGTGGTTCAGTAATCGGGCCCCCCTTTTTTGTGTCTTTAATCATTTATGGCCCCAACCCCAACAGTACATATACTGCCACCCAGCTCTGAAGCCAGAGCGGAGAGCAGTGGCTGCTGGCTTGGTGGCCAGCTCTAAAGGCAGCACAGCACCAGCAGCAGCACTGAAGTAATATTGCTTTTCACAGCAGACTTAGCACCCATTGCCACCCTTACTTCTGCGTTGCTGCCGCCACCCTGGGGGCTGGTAGCTGGAGCCCCACCACCTCCAGGTGAGGGATGGGAGGAGGGGAGGAAGGAGAGACGGAGCCCGGGCTGCATCCCAGTAAGGGATTGAGAGCGGTGGGGGGGAGGAAGCGAGCCCGGGTGGTGGGGCTCTAGCTGTCCCTTTATCATCCCCACCTCCCAGGCATGCCTGGCCCTTCTGCATGAGCTCCAGCCACCTGGAGTTGACAGAGCTCTTAAAAAACCAACCAACAAATAAAAGCACACAGCTCGCGCCTCACTTGCCACTTTCCCGTGCCTTCCTTGGAAGGTCTGCCCCATAGTTTGAGAACCGCTGATATATAGGAAATAAAATCAGAGTGTTTCCTTTTTCTTTTCATTTGATATGTGAATTTGGGGAGTTCTTCTACTCCGGGAAAGAGAGACATCAGTGGCACTAACTGCAGCTAGACACTATGGGCTGAATATATACCTGGGGATTGGGTCCAATAAGATGCAAATACCATGCAAATTTCCCCACAGACCTCTCTCAGTGCAGTTCATTAATTACTTCTAGCACTCTTGATAGTTTGTCCTTAGAGTCTATGATCAATTTCGTGGTAGGTTTTTATGGTAAGAGCAAAGCTCCATTTGGGGCCTCATTGAAGGAGCCAAACCTTGCCTCCCCCAATGTAATCTGCTCCTTTATTTTATTTTATTTTAAATCTCCTTTCTCTGAAGCATGAGAAATGGCCACAATGGGAGATGGAGTGGGCCAGAGCTCTGAGGTGGCACTAGGCATTCACTCTCTCAGGTGCTTGGCTGGCTGGTTCTTGCTTACAGACCATCATATGTGGGGTCAGGAAGGAATCTCCCCCGCCCCTAGTCACATTAGCAGTGACCTTAGGGTTTGTTTTTTTTGTGCCTTCCTCTGCAGCTTGGGATGCAGGTAGGGTGACCAGATGTCCCGATTTTATAGGGACAGTCCCGATATTTGGGGCTTTTTCTTATATAGATGTCTATTACCTCCCTCCCCCATCCCAATTTTTCACACTTGCTGTCTGGTCACTCTAGATGCAGGTCACCTGGCAGGATTATCTGGGCATATCTCACTTAATCATTTCCCTGCTATTGAGAGGGTGTCAGGCACTGGTGCACTTCGGTCCCTCCCGTTCTCAGCCTGTGGCACATAATAATCTGGTCTCCTCTGGGCTGTAATACTTTGGTCTAATTTTGGTTGTTGGGTTTAGTGTGCGGGTGCTGGGTGGGGTTGATGGCCTGTGATACACAGGAGGTCAGACTAGATGATCTAGTGGTCCCTTCTGGCCTTGAACTCTATGACTCTAAACCCATTTTTACCTTGCAATATGGCTGAAGTCAAATTTGAGCATGAGGTAAATGCTTGTAAATTAAGCTAGAGTGACATTTAGCTTCCATGTATGTATATAAAATTCTGAAACAGCGCCAGTAAAAAGATCTGTCTGTCTCAATGCATCAAGAACCTCCAGAACTATAATTTTTCCAGGGGTGCTGACTGCCTTCTAATGAGAACACAAATGATAAGCATTATAACTTGCATGGATTGCATTAAAAGCCGAGTCTCTAGGATAAAGTAATTGGAGCTGGTTAGATGAAGGCATAGAATCTGTGTTAAGAGGGTGGATCTGGACAGGTTGCAGCTTCAGGAGGCTGGAAGCTTCGGTGAACAGCCATTTGAAACTCATGCTTGATTAGAGCCCAGAGTAATGTGGATTACAGTAGAAAAGGTGTGTCCCTATGTAATGAAGAAGATTGACCCTGTGATCTGGGACACAGGAGATTTGGGTTCAATTTCTGGGTCTACCGCAAAATTCTTATGTGGCATTGGGCAAGTCACTTAATCAAAATAGATAAAACAGTCAAAGGGTGAGGGAATTGTGGCACAGAAAGGTTATCAGCTCTTCAGGGCAGGGACTCTCACTCACTCTGTGTTTACAGACCTTGATCTTGTTTGGTGCTTCTAGGTGTAACTGTAATGCACATCATAAATAGTAATGTAACAAAAAGGTGGTCAACAAATGGTACCTCGAGAGTTTCCTATGCTGTCATCTGTGTAAGTCAACAGAGAAAGGAGGTGGAAGCAAGCAGCTCTCTTGGAATAACAGGCTTCTTATTTTAGCATGGAAAAGAGCCAGAGATAGGAGGGTTGTTGCGGCCTTGCTAGTCAAAGTAAAACAGAAGTCTTGCTGAAAGAGTAATATTTTCACTTGGGTACCAGAAGAGCACAAAAGCTAGCTCTGGACTTAAAGACAGAAGGCTAAAGTGGCAGTTTGCTTCTAAAAAAATACAAATGATTGTAATTAGGCCCAGACCCTCTTAAGTGACACATGGGTTTATTTATTTCAGATGTTTCCAAGTCCCAGGGATGGGGCCAAATATGAGGCGTTTGATGTAGCCTGTAGTTTAACCCCAATTACTTCTACATAAATCACATGACTATTACAGGCACTAAGTACACGTTTGTCAGATGAGTGCTACCTATTAGAAAAAATGAAGATAACTTTAAAAAATGTAATTCTGGTAAAAAATCTTTGAAAAAA